ACATTTACCCCTTCTACTTGTGATTTTACTTATACTGTTATTGGTACACCTCCATATCACTTTAGTACTGTTTAACGTATAAAAATTACTGAAAACCTGCCGTTGATTTGCATTTCTAATTGTACATATGGAATAAATTTTCGATTATGAATGCGAAATTTCAAGAAAACATGGAAGAAAAACAAGTGGATCTGAACTATCATTGTTTTTTTGTCATCATTAATCTTTTGAAGCTAAATTTATCAATTTTCAAATATTAACTACAAATCAGATGGAAAGGAAACCAGCAAGATTTTTTCCGACTTTATTAATAAAATAAAATGTACGTGTTGAATATTCAATCTTCCCCACCCTAATCTAATTATTTGCCACTTGTAAAAACAATTTGTGTGGCTCTAGAAAAAAAAAAAAGTTTAACCCTTCTCAACGTTGCCCAACGAGCACGTCACCGAACAAGAGGCTACACGTTTGCTTTTAAAATAACGAAGGTGACCATCAACATTCTTGAAACAACTCGAGAAATTATCCGTTGAAAAACAAACGTTGACGGTTACATCATATCGTCGAAATGTATTTTTTCCAGCTTTATCGGCTTTTCAAACTTTAAATTATACACTAGCTCATTTAGCAATTGTAACATGTGTCCATTCCGTGCAGTTCACCGCAGCAATGTTAATTTTTTTCAACAAACTTTCAGGCGCCAACTCCGTTTGCGTAGGTATACCCGCAGTTGAGACGACGAGCTAGCACTGCCCCTCATGAAACTCTCTTCCACTGAGCATCGCCCTTAGCTTCCTGTTTGTCTACTATCACCAGACACGTGCAAGCGATCATTAAAATATTCATTAAAACTCTCTCCTACTCTGTTTCTCCTTATTTTTCTGAACCCCATTTTTTTTGTCACACCATCCAGCTGCAAAAAACAAAGAGCACAGTATCACGTATTGAAAAAGACAGTAAAATTAAACTTATGGATTTACCAATAATTACGTGTACAAATACTTACATACTTCCGACGTTACAATCTTCGGAAAGCGATGACGCGCGTCTACGAGCACAGCTATTTTCATACACCATCGCTGATATTCTCGGATCAAACTATCAAAGCGTGCATACGTCCTTTCTCTTTCCACTTGTCCGACTAAGTATATATTCAAATTTCAACTGCAAACATTGAAACGGATGGACAAAGAAAACCAGAATCCGGCTATCGCCTACCAACTGGTCTATATTCGAGGAAAACGCTCACACGATTACATAAGCACCCGTGCATGTGTGGGTGAGTTAGCATGAAAATACGGAACCAGTGAGATGTGTCGGCCTGGATAATGGAATTTCAAGGAATACAGTAAGCTGGTACCCTTTTTCACCCACATATGTCCTGTTCGTGTATGCAACATTTCAATGGACTTTCATTCTTATTAATTTTTTGTTTTTGTCAGTGAAAAATGAAGCACGCCTACAGAAGATAGCTAAGAAACAAAAACATTTGATAAAAAAAAAAAAAAAAAAAAACTGCTTATTTCTTTGTATGTATACTTGCTAGTAGTATACGTAGTATCCGATGTTTCTACAAAAGCTGGTTATATTTGAGGCTCTAGTTTTCGTTTTGGCAAAATAAGCCCCCAATAATTTATTTAGTCAGTTTTTTTTCCGCCGTTTATGCGTGTAATAAACTCCCTAAGTACTTGATACTTTATAAATACTGTATAGGAGGCATTGTCTAGCGAAATAAATTTATAATGTAAAAACAAAAATATACAAAAGTGCGACCTTATTGCAGACTTAAATTGTTTATCACTGAGACCTTAAAATTGCACGTATGACGTATCATTAAAATGAGTCTTCAAAATTAATCACGTTTTAAAAATGTAAAACTTTTTTAACGGCCATTAAAAGTGTATTCGAAAAAATCATGACGCATTTAACAAAATAAAAGAAAATTTTAAACATGAAATCACCTTTACGTAATGTGGTTTTAATTGATCATTCCGAGAGCGCAGATGACTCAAAATTTTTTCTTATATTCAATGAGTTGTCCACACTCAAAATATCAACGACTACAATACTTACAGTACCGAATTCGTAGATATAATTACAAATAGTTTCCATCGCATAAGTAATTATACGGCGAATCCTATTTTTTCTACCGAGGACGCACCCGACCCTCAAAAGCGCTCGAGACAGGGCAACTACTATTTTTATTTAAAAAAATGATCAATACTACGGATAAATATGATGACAATCCTGTAAACGTACTTTATGATGCAGTTCGTTTTCGTTATGAAAAGGTTAATATTTTAATCAGGCATAGCATTCAATTTAGCCAAACAAAAAGAAAATTTCTTTTTAAATGACGCCTTTGTTAGTTCTATTGGACTGTATCTTGATTTGAGTTTCAAATATTCACTAAACATAATTTTAAAAAGCTGCAACTCGGATATCCTGACACTACACACTCTATTTTAACATTTTTTTCAACTGTTGAAGGAACAATTTCTACAATCATAGTCAAAAACAAGGCATTGATCGCATAAAAAAAAATTAGAGAGTAATGAGTCACATTTTTCTTCTATATCATGAACAAAAAATTAGGTGGTGAATGTATAGCATGTACACGTTGAAGTTAAACCTTTTGTTCACTTATTTCCAGATTCCTTCATCATAATTGAATCAGCCTTCAATCGTTTGAAGACAAGATTAAGAGGATACAAATCTTGCACGTGTCCATCCAAAGATAAAATACATTACCTCGAGCAGTAAACTATGATTTAAATTAAAAATAAATCTCGACTAATTTAGACTCTTGTACAGTCAGTCCAAACCTGAAAATACATTATTCGTGATTTAACAAAGGCAATGCCGAGTGTGAATCGTTCACATATATATACGGAGATGAATAGATGCCAATTTACTTATATAACATCAAACAACAGGTGTTAACAAATATAACTTGTCTGACGCAATGCTTATGCATCAATTGTTTTATTTTATAGTCGTGATTACATTGAAAATCTAAGGTGAGTTATTTCAACACACTTAAATTTATAATTTTCTGCAATACTTTTTACTTACAAAAGAGTTATTTACACCACATTCAAAATGAAATAATTATACTACACTGTTTTCTCTTTTCATTTCTCCTACTTGCGTAATTTCACCATATAATTAGCATCGAAAGTGTGAAATTAACTCCCAGAAGAGGACTAGGATTTCACTGATAATCGCCGTCAAATTGGTTCCCGAGTCGTTGAACCGCATGGTTGAACCTTGTAATGATCCAATTAACCGCGGGAACTAATAACTTGACTTTTTTTCAGTGATTTTTTGAAAACTCTTTGACTGAGGTTGTTGACGTTAAATAAACTTTAATAATACATGAATCTGATATCTTACCTCATGAGTGACGTGAAATAAGATAAAATTTTTTTAAAGAAAAAAGTTTGCTAGTTGGTTTACCACAAGTTTTCGTTTTAAAATTTAAAATATTCATAAAACTCTGTTTCCGACTCTTGTTGAAACATTCTAATTTCAAATAGTATTTAAAATTAAAACTTAAAAGATTTTATCACTATTATCTTGGATTTTTATCGAGCGAACACTCAATCAATTGAATAGAATTAATTCTGTAGTTATTAACAAAATTTATAAGAGTGAAATTTTTTTTGAAAAACGATACTTTAAATATAACTCGTTCATAAAAACTGATGATCCAAAAATACAAGTATTGATGATGATTTTAATTTATGTCCAAATTTCCGAAAAATCTGATGTTTTTGGTGACCGCTTTTCAGATGAAAATTATTTGCTGTTTGCATTTACGTTTTCTCTTAAGCATAGATAGTGGAATCCAGGGATCATTGGCTTTTGTTCCAACTTCAGAAAAAAATTACTCAAAGATAATAGTGGCATTGAAATGTGCCAAGTTTATGACTATCTTTATCGTATTTTTAAATAATAGTTGTGATATAATATATGCTCGAAATTAAATTGAAGATGCATTGAAACAAGCTTTAATTTAAGGAATGATAGCAAATATTTTGATTCAAGTTGAAGAAAATATTAGTATTTGATGAATTTTAAGTGTTGTACGTAAATTTAAGTTCTTGCTAACTTATGACGTGGTCAACATGTTTAACCCGACCAGTACTTAAATTAAAGTGTTTTCAATTATTTTTTCAGAAGATGTTATAACTCTACTCATATTATTGGGCCACATGATGGCTGTGAACAGCGCGTTTGTCTCAAAACATAAATTTCTAAAATAGCCACGTCTGAATCATGCTGGGCTATGATAAATACCAACGTACGCGTACATATATATAATAAAGTTACGAATAAACTAATAAAGTCATGATTGTCGGTGAATTTTGCCAATCTTACTGCTGAGCGAAAAAAAAAGATAATCGCCCTGCTAGAAATAAATTTTAAAATTTTTATATTAGTTTTTATAAACTTTATCGCAATACCTTCATTTAATAGCTTCGAATAAGCTTCATCGCACACTGCTTATATCTTTACCAAAACTATTTGAGAATAAGCAACTGTATAGCCATTTCCAGCAAAGTTGATTAAAAAAAAAAAAAAAAAAAGGATTGCTGTTGACACCTTCCACTACGTATAAATTCTCCTTTGATTTACTGTTAACTTTCAACCATACATTTGTAAGACTACACCGATTTTCTTGTAATTAGACTAAAGATATTGTGTCATCTATGCTATCAATAGTCACCAGCGTCAACGATGACGTCGGCGATGATAAGCGCAAGCAAATCGATCACGATGAGTGCGTGCTTTTCACGATTGTTCGAGCGAGTCACAAGACACGAGAGTGCCATGGACGTCGTATACTTTATGTAATTGGCTGTAGTTGCAGTGCACCACAACGACTACTGTATCCATTACATCAGTGATTATTAAGTCATACGTGGTGTGTGTATCTTTGTGGTACTTATATCGTAAATATTATAAGACGGATAATAGCAGTTGACGGTAGACTGTTGGACTAGAAGCTACACTTTACCTAATAGGTAAGTGCATGAGTGCGTCGACCTGTACTATTAGTTTTGCTGGCCAGGCCAAGGTGGTGATACAGACGTATTAAAAATAATGTGTAAATGCGTACTCATTTATATTTTATACATCGATATTTTACATCATATCCGTACAAACGCAAATCACTGTACTTTTTTTACCATTTCTGTTGCTACTTATGTAGAGGCTCTACTCAAGTACCCAATGTATATCAATTTCGTACGTCAATTTTCTCATTTTTACTGCTGAATTTTGATACGTTGTCCTTGGTAGAGCCCTTGCTGCTTCTTTAGTACGTGTACTATACCTGTAAGTAGATAAACCTATACGTGTATGTGTTTGTTTTATTGCGTTATCATTTTTCTTTACTATTATTTTCAATTGGACTTAATATTTCGTGATTCTCCTACGATTCCCTTCATTGTTAAACGGCTGGTAGCACCCTCATCACCAAAAAAAAGGGTGACTACAGATAAGTTAAAAATTAATGAAACAACCAAGATAAAGGCTTAAATTTTGTCATGTTTGCGTGGGATCAGATAGTACTTGTTAAAATATTAACATTAATTAAATAATTCGAGAAATTCTATTTCATTAGTATGGCTGATTCAATACGTGGGATCAAATAGTTTTTACTTATAAATATGTAACGTATATTTTATAACTTTGATTGGTGCTACAATTAAAATAGTAAATTTCGTCATTTATCCTATCGAAAACTGTAACTTGTTGGAATCATATTGTTTAAAATACGTATGTTACTTTCAGAGGGAACGAAACAATAATATATGTGCATAATCACATAGTTGATACATGAGAAAGTCGAATTCTTATTAAAAAATTTTTAATTGATGACTAAGCTAATTTCAATTATCCTCAAGCAGAAATGTTTCTTGAGAATCCTATTAAATTTAACTTTCAATATAGATCGTGATAAATGTTGTTCATACCAAAGTTACGTTAAATGGTGAGCACAAGAGAGTCAATAAAGATGAAATATTATTTACTCATACACGACTGCATGAATCCAAACTCAATACTAACATTCGTAAGCAAAAGAAACGTGTACTTTTTTTCCTGCCGATGGATAAACCTTATAAGCTCACACACCTACAGTGTCCTAACCAACCTCAAGTGCACATACAACAAACGCGTCGTGATTTAGTTTTTCGTCTCTTAGGTGCAAGTAGCGTAAAATCCATCGTCGTCCGCATTTGATCCTTTTAGAACTCGACGATATACAACAATAGCAGCAACAACAGTAGAATCACCGCTAGTCAGGAACATAAGGCAAACTCGATCCCTCAACAATGACAGCGATCGATCAAACCGATAAGAGTAAGGTCCAGATCTTCAGGAAGGCTGCCATCATCTCCATAAACCTTGTAATCGCCATAATAGGTAAGAAATCTCGAAATCACTTTGTCTCTCCTTCTGTACTATAATATCTTCCAAGACCGATGGATTTGTAAACGGAGTTAATTTAGCTTTGCAGAGCAAGTAATAGTAAATTTTAAATGTCAAGAAATAAAAAATAAATTAAAAAAAAAACGTGAGCTAAACAAATATGAAGATTATCTTTCCTTGTACATAAAATCATTTGGTTTTTACTCCAAAAGTTATGAAAAAATACGATCGATGTATAAAATGTCAAAACTATCAACAGAACTAGCGATATTCTTTTTTTTTCTCCGAGCGAGAATAAGCGCGTCAACAAGTATAATGATCGAACAAAGTAACAAAGGCACGCTTGTCTGTGGCTGATTGCAGTACTGCTGGTGATATGGTTAGCAGAGTTTGGTTTTGTTCCAAATCGTCAGGGGGGCTTTTTCTGCAACGATCCAAACATCTCGCACAAATTCAGAGGAGAAACGATATCGTCTTTCATCGCCATGTCCGTCGCGGTCTTGTTACCCGCGCTGATGGTAAGTCTCGCGCCCATGCTTCTGCTCGCATACAATATTAAAACTTATGTGACTGACTCGGGGTGTATACTATAATTATGATTTTTCGCAACAGATGTTGTTGACGGAATACTTGTGCCACAGCCCTGACAGCCACAAATTAAACTCGAGGAAGAACCAGTTATGGCTGTGGTACGGTTACTTCGCGGTCGGATGTATTTACATGTACCTGGTGGTTCAAGTGTTGAAGCTGGTAGTCAGTGAGCCCAGGCCTCATTTCATAGACAGCTGTAGACCCACAAACATAGAAAGCTGCACTACGTCTGAGTGAGTATAATACGCACCATATATATTTCTCGTAATAACAATTTTTTTTTCTATTTCAATGTAGAGGCTAAAAATAATTATTCATACTTTTATATTGAAAACGATTTATTTTACTCAAATCAACTGATTTTTCCACAACTTTTTCCAGGTTCATATCATCGTACACGTGTACCAACACAGAAATCTCTCCCTATCTTGTTAAAGATTCGGACCGGTCGTTTCCATCAGGACATTCTGCGACTTCCATGTTTATGACTACGTATTTGGTGGTGAGTGTCATCTGATTCTATACCTTTTTTTTTTCCTTTGAGTTTTCCTTCGATTATCCTCTTTGTGCATCAGTTTTGACAAAAATACGTATGGTTTCGGAGAAACGCTGATGTATTTGGCTCTAGCGTTCACAAATTAGTACATCCGTATGCGTATGCGTCATACATAAATATGAGGTGACAAATTACGTAGACGCACCAGTTATTACTGAAACAGTTTATGTCGGAACTAGCACCCTTTGGTAAACGATATACTGTGGCAAATATCCTCACAAGCTAAATTTGTACGTATCTTTTGATGGAAATATTTTTTTAAGCCCTTTTTATCACGCCTCGAGCACAAAGTTTCGTAAAAGTATTTTTTTTTTAATTGATTTCAACGATGCCATTATTACGTACGCTCTCACCCTGAATCCGAATTCCAAAATGTGACCATACACCGCGTCATTAAACGGTAACACCCAACATCAGACAATTAGCACTGGTAAATAGTTACACGTGTGCGATAAACAAAATTAATGGCTGACCCAAAAAAATCGCAGTGGTACCTGCAGAGGCGGATGCCGGAGACCTCGGCGCTGGTGCTGTTGAAGCCGGGCTTGCAGTGCCTGGCCGTGATGTGGGGCCTGGTTTGCTCGATGTCGCGCATAACCGATCACCGGCACCACTGGTGGGACGTCCTCATTGGGGCTATCATCGGCATCGTCTTCGCTTGCTTCGTCGTGCGGGTGTTGTGCCGAAGCTTCCGGCTGAGCCCATCCCCTTTGAGCTGCTGTCGATTGCCGACGAACCCCGACTCGGTGAATGTAGACTTGGACCAGGTACTGGCTTCGCAACAATTGTCACCGCTAACAGCAACGACAGGTGAAACAAAAATGCCAGTGACAGGCGTTTAGATGATGGGCCGACTTGGCACCTGCTGCTACTCGTCGAGCTGAGTGCTTTGCGGGACTGCACCTGTACACAAACATTTATTGATAAATTTACGAAAATGTAGAAAAAAAATTAGTTCATTTATGCAATATTGTACGAATTTGTCTTTCGTCAATGGATTGAAGGATAGATTTACAACGAGTGTTACTTAAAAAAAAAGGTGATGCTTATTTATACGGAAAAAAAAATAAATAAAAAGGTTAAAGGATATAGTCGATTAGGAAAACTGTTTCTAGTCAACGCTATTTTAACCAAGAGATAAACATTTTAACATAATTGCATTATTGCCAATGTAATAAACAATATTTTTATCTAATAGTTTCTTTGTGTGATAATTTATTCATTGATTTGTATATTTAAGTACCTAAATCATAATTATGTTGCAAAAAACGTAAACGTAAATGGTGATTTTTCAATCAAATTAAAAAAACCTTTTACTTGGTTGTTGTAAGTTGATTTTATATCATAAATAAAAAAATTTGTCTATTATTACACTTGTATGCACGTGTTAAGTCTGTGACAGCCAAGTTTTTTTTTATTCTTCAACTTTCCTACTTTGGTTTTTTTCGTTCAAAAATGTTTGGACGAGTAAAATTGGTGTTAAATCGTTGGTGCACCATTGATTTTTGTTGTTTTTCTTAAAATTCTTATCAGTGCATCTGCAATGCTTTAAAAAAAAGTAAAAATTTCAACTAATCGTCCAATACGTGTACTTCAACACACTTTGACGTCGTTTGCACGAAAAATACCGACGACTAGTATCTCTCTCCTAAATTAGCTCAAGAGCCAACCTGCATTACGGAACGTACTACCTGCATGTGACTCATGGGGTCTTTTACACCGTCAAAAAGACGTAGTAGGTGTAATTTGCGGTTTGGGGGTGAATTCCCGTCTACATCCTCAATCCTCATTTTTCTCCCTAACTAATGATACTCTACACTTTCGCGAATAGGGGGTGTTTCCGACGAGAGCTATGGTAGACTCCATCACATTTCTCAGTCACTTGTTTTCGCGTTATGCGCTTTGTCTCACAGGCTTCGATGCCTGAAAATGCAAAGTAAAAAGCATCAAGTAGACTACATATGATTTTTTTAAAACTTATTAAAAAGAAAATGGGCTGGCTACCAATGTGACCTATGGAAGTAAAAAACAAAATGTATACTAAAAATAAAATGCATCCGATACATCTGGACGTACATTGGTTTCTTTCGGGGATGGTTCATTACTTTCAGTGGTAAGCTTACACTACGCAAAAATTTTTACATGCAAATGTAATTTTCTTCATCCGTGTGTGAATCTCACTTAGAAGATTTTGCGTACTTTATTGCGTACTTTTTAAAAATTTTCAATTGTGACGTGGCGAAATTTGCTTCACAATTTTGCACGTCACTGTCGACGCCCCTATTCTGAAACCAATTAGTGTTCTTAATGGGATCCTCCCGTAACCGAAATCTTCGTGTGTTTTAGAAACGACCAACGGTAAGCCAGAGAAGGAGACACACGCCTAGACCAGAAATGTAGCGTGCGTACGAGTGAATGTGATGATGTAAGTGTCGAAGCGTCGGCACGTAAGAATGATCCGGAAGATAAGGTAGGGACCGGGTAGGTAGGTCAAAAGATAGTCAGTTGACCTACCGAGCGACCAGTTGGGGACGGACGCGACTGATGAGTTCAGTAGGTGTGAGACCACCGAGCGCGGAGGTTGGAGAGAGTACGTGGAGCAAGAGAGCCGAGTGTACAGCGAGTATTAAGTGTGAGAGAGAGAGAGAGAGAGCGAGTGAGAGAGTGAGCGGGAAGAAGGACTCGGAAAAATAAGCCTGATCCCGACCCATCCGACCCTGAACGGCGGCCATCTTGAGACGAAGCGTCCTCCCGTGACGACCTGAGCCAAGCCCGAGGTGAGAGGTGTACTGGACAGCAGGCGAGAGAGGCCCAGGTATCACACAGCGTCGACTTCCTGGACTGCGACCCTCGACGCTCATGGTGGACTGGCCTTACTGTAAGGAAGCACGGGATTCGCCAAGGTACAGTGTGTGGGTTACGCGGAGACGCGGGTGAGATCGTCGGCTATAGCGATAGACGAGAGAGAGAGAGAGAAAGAGAGAGAGAGAGAGAGAGAGAGGAAGAAAAGGGCGCGTGAGACCCAGAGCGAGTGAGTAGTCGCGTAGTCGTGGTGTAAGGGCGGGACGGATCGAGAGCCGGCGTCGGGACGCTGTGAGTTGTAAGGCGTGTTTGTGACCGTCTCCGGTCGCGACGACAATCCACGCCCGGGACTTATAGGTTACGCCGAGTGTGAGTGTGGGGGTGTGTAGGTACGGACAGGCAACCACGCCGAGGGGACCTGATCCCAGACCGAGAGTAATGTGAGAGGGGAAGTGGGTGTAAAGGCGCGTGAGTGCGTGTGTGTGAGCGGGCTAGCGTGGCTCTCCGAGCGCACCACTGGCGTTGTGGTGGCGATCGAGGGCCTGCGCCATAGCATCGGGACCGAGAGGAGTCACGTGAAGTGATTGTAGATAGCGGTTGTGGTTATTTTCAATAAATTTGTAAAATAAAGTCAACATAGCCTTTGTGTTCATTTGCCCAGACGCGAATCCCCTTTTGAGACAGGTCCAGTGAAGGGGCGAAGAGGAAGAGTGTTGTCGAGCAGAGACGTACGAGAGAGAATAATAACGATATTTTCTCTCCAACGGTAAGTCACCTTGGGGAATATAAAATCCACGTTATACAATCTACATTCACAAGATAAAGCTACTAAATAACTTGGTTCATTTTTTTTCTCGATTGAGTATACTAAAACACACTGCAGGATAAAATCGAGGAAAAGTTATGGTTCCACAGTGCAACGTCTCTTTCGCACAGTCGAGCATATACTTCTATTTATCATTAATAATACAGTACAAGGCTATATGAATACCAAATGATTAAGGAGGTTCGGTAGTGTTAGCGGGGGGAAATCTCAGAGAGGCAAGGGGAGGGAGAGCGTCTGGCAACGTTGTGAATTTTTTCGGCTGCTGGCACGTCGTCTACTGTTGTTGTCGTCTACTGCTGTTGTCGTCGTCTACTGATGACAGTGTACTTATTTATTCGGTTTAATTTTTTATAGTTAAATTCTCAATTACAAAAGGAGTTTTTACTATTGATTACATTTCAAAGCGCGCGCCAAAAGCAGCGTTGCCAAGTCGTCTGCTGCGAGCACATTTTTTGCTGTTTTTTAATAGAAATTTGTGGTAGGGCTCTCTCAAACTTTAACAAAATATTATTTTGACAATATTCTTTCATTTAAAAAAAAAAAAAGCAAGTTCATTTAGCCGTTTTTTTTTATGTGAAATTTAAGTGATTTCTCCATAAGCCTACATGATAAAATATTGTTTTTTCAGGTCAATATATCTTGAAAACGGTGTGGTTAAACCCTTCAAAAATTTAGCTGTAATTTGATACTATTATCCCAAACAACATATCGAAATTTCAAAAATTTTCATCATAAAAAATTATCACTACCAAACCTCCTTAATGGTCCTTTTCAGCCACAAGAAATATCGTATAAATGTCGCTCATCATCATAGTTGTATAAGTGTTTATATTTAAAAAAAATCTGTAGTGCGAAAGAAATGACCTCTTCGGAAGCTTTCATGTCATCATGGACAAAAAAGTTCTATGATGAGGTCCTATACGAGGCTCAATTTTTTTTATTTTTACATCAGTAGGTCGATCAATTGATACGTAAACTGTACAGTAAAAATATGTGGGTAGCTTGAAAGTGTAATGTAAAACAATAGCTACTGTTGAACTTGGAAACACAAAAGCATTTTATTTTTCAATTAATAACCACGTATTTTCAACCAACGTCAAAACAAGCAATGTATGATGAGAAAAAATTCCTCATTGAATTTCGTGTTTTTATCCATTTTGTACGTGACTGTATCCGGTGTATCTGTGCGATAAACTTTATTTCCACGAACGGTTAGATTCGTCGCAGTTTTAAGCACCACATACGCTCACCACGAGTGTACATGTGTGCGTGTACCCGCATACAGATATAAGAGGCAGATTGGATTGGGTGCACCAATACGCGTGAGTATGGCTTTACTGCTCGCGATAAAACATATTACCAAAGTTGTACCGTTCAGTCGAGCCATATACGCGTTAATCTTTATTTGGAAACGTGTGTCATAGTATCTGCGCTCTTGAGCTTCCATCGCGCGATCGTTGAATTATATATTGACCTGCAATAGGCTTTTTACCCTATACGCTGGGTTTTTATGGCTTCTCCGTGGCGCTGAAATTACTATTGGCTGTAACCCGATCGTTCTGCAATTGCTGATCGCTGTTCCACTTGTTACGATGAATCCCCCGTTTTCTCTTATTTTTCGATACAGTCACGAGACGCGCAGAGGCGCACTGTACTATTATTGTAGCTTTAAAAGCGCAAAATTTCAAAAAAATCTCTCAGCTTTCATATCCCACAAATTTCGCATGCTTTAACAGCTCCTCCTCGGTGTATCGTTGCTGAGCTATGCAACAAATGTGATACGATAAGAACAGCTCATACGTCAATGTACATACGTGCACAGTAGTAACAGACTTTTCACGTCAGACGCGTCAATCATCCCAGCACATTTCAATGTATTAATGGTATTTACGTGTATACAGGTACAACCCTTCGTACGTGCATATAGCGGATGGGTGTCCTCATGTGTGTATTGTGTGCTGCCTAGCTCTAGCTATTATTTATCGCCACTTTTTTCTTGATATTTATAGGCTTGCGTGGCCGTGGTTCGTTCGACATACAGACGTTGCTGTAACTGCGGGTTTTTCGCGTGAATTTTTTCGGCAAAACAGCGCACGTATCCATTCATCGCCACCTCTATATTATATGCTTGTCCCTTAA